ATTATGATGTTAACCGCTCCGCTGAACAGGACGAAGGTAACATCGTTTATAGCGAGAGGCCTAGCTCCGTGCGTATAAATTGAGCGGCTCTCTAACCACAAACTATGTTCTAACCGGTTAAAGGAGTATCGACCGGAAACAATTCCGCGCTAAAGAGCAGGCTACTCACCTATTCATCACGTAAAAGACAATGAGGTGCTTCATATAAGATCGTCCTCGGTAACCGCGTGGAAACGGGCTTACAAAAGTTCCCAAGAAACGAATATCTTTAAAAGTACCTAACGGCTAGAGAAAGGATTCATGATACTGTACCTCTTCAACCCAGTATTTGCTAATAATATGTATCTAACCACCTACCTAACCTACCTAGGTAGATATTGTAACATGAAGAGTTTGGTGGATCCTGCGTCTTTTCGGCCGAATTGGAACGGACATCCGAACGTGCTAGGTTAAGTCAGTTACCTCTGTGTGGACGCGCCCATCACTTCCTTCCCCTCGTATCTTTTCGATAGAATCCGATTCTAGGGATTCTACTGTAGTATCGATGTATGATATTTGCAGATCCCGGTTTTGGAGTGAAGACGAAGTTGTTATTTTGGTTATGGAAGTTTGGCTGGTATCAATATTGAGAATATTCATGTAGACCCTAGAGCGGACCTTGCGCTATCACGCTTGAAATATCACAAACCAGAATGTCATATGTATTAACATCTAGGTTAGGTCTCTTAATAAACGCACGTATGGTGTAGTTGATTGTACACACGGATCATGTTGAAGAACGACTTTATGCCCCCGAACGCCACACGATAACTTCCCTAAAGGCGTTGAGCCTACTAAGCTCTAATTTGCATGTCCCATTCCGTCTTCATGGATGAGCTTGATGTTGAGATCCCACGCTCCAAACCTAAAACGCCCCAGATGCACGTACGAATCCGATCCTTTAATTTACCTGTATGTCCTGTTTAACCCAACGAGACTCAGAAACTCATTCCTAGTCTTTTCCTTTCTCTCGAAGCAGCCAAGCACGCAACTCGTGATGGTGCTGGTAGTCGTCTTTTCAACACCTCGCATAACCATACTATAATAATCGTGGTTAGTAACTGCCAATTGAGATAAGAGGTTTGGGGTGAATTTGAAGGAAATTAGCTTGCTGGGAGGGAGAGGGAAGAAAACCATACCAGAGATGGCTCGACTCCATCACAACCGCTACACCCTGAGGTTTTAAGACCTCCATAATGGCATTGGCAACTTCCCTTGTCAGTCTTTCCTGGACCTGTAGTCTGCGACTAAACATTTCGGCGATGCGCGGAAGCTTAGATATGCCAATGACATTCTTGTTCGGAATATATCCAATGTGCATCTGCTAGAAGATTAGAACTAGAATCGAGAGCGACGGAGTGGAATGACTGACCTTTCCTGTAAATGGTACTAAGTGATGCTCGCAAAGACTGAAAATTTCGATGTCCTTGACGATAACCATCTCATTATGGTTCTCGTGGAAGATAGCATTGTTCACAATGTCTCTAACATTCTGCTGATATCCCTTTGTAAAGAAGAGCATCGCTTTCGCATATCTTGTCGGTGTGTCAAGAACCCCCTCTCTGTCCGGATCTTCCCCGACACATTCTAGGATTGTTCGAATAGCTCCCCGCATCTTCTCTAGCCTTTCGGCTGCTTGCTCGGAACTCTCCTCTAGTCTTTCACGCGTTCCCCGACCTGAATTGTGTAAGCATTACTCCGTAGAACGTAGTCGTATGAAAACCTCCAATACATACTCGGCCTGCTTAAGCCATCGAAGTCAATTACCGGGCTGGGAGATCTAGTTTCCGTGCCTTCGGTTGTAGCTTTCTTCTGCTTCTTTCCCTGTGGTTCGTCTCTGGGATCTCGCGCGGCTTTGCTAATGCTATTCCTTCTCTTTAACGATTTTGCATGTCCGTTGACCTCTGATATGCCGCCATCCTTGATTCTTCTTCTTCTCTTCTTCTTACTAGCTTTCTTGTCATCTCGACTTTGGTTGTGCTCTTGTATGTCGCTACCGTTAACAGAGTCGTCAATGTCGGAAACACCAGTAGCTGAACTGGTGGAGGAGTCTACCGCGGCCATTTCTAAATTGTTCCACTTTCGGTCAGTGAGCTGTACCATTCTGCTTTTTCTGTTTCTAGCCAAGAAGCAAACTGCTGCAAGGACGTCTCTAGAGGCGTAATATACGGGGTTTCGTATAAGGGGATTTGCCTTGTAAGTACCTCCGTGGGGGATTATGAAGTTATGTAGGAACGTACGGAGCGGAATAATCTTACTACAAGTTCCAATCAGCTGAATCAGATCCAGCACTTGCGTGGAGGCGAAGGCTCAATGCTTATTTGTAGCTGCAGATGGTATCTTCGAATCCCACTCTAACGCTTCTAATACAAGTTCTATTCAAGTTCTATTCAAAGTAGACAAGATTTGCAAGTATCGAAAATTGACTCTCTCAATTGTCCGTTATCGCCCCCGTCTTATCGCCTTATCGTGTGGATAAGTTTTTAAATACTGTAATGCATGTACGGATCCCCCTCGGGGTAGCTGCGGCTTATGTACCTTACAGATGGATGGACCCATCCCTGATACCTATGATTTGTACCCAAGTAGCACAAAGAGGTACAAAAACAAACCTCAATCCATTGGATTCGCGTCCGATTGGTATGCCTCACGTGGCTGAAGTTTTATGTATCCATCCGTGGCTCAAGCTCCTTCTTCACTCAGCATCCCTCAAACATTTGAAGCTCCAAACACAACTTCCCAAAGTTTCCCAGTAATAACAACCTGCCGATTGCTTTCTATTTCGCCATCTAACCTACGTAATTCTTCCATTTGCCTAGGCTGTATATTCTCCCCCCAAACTAAAACATACGCTATTTTCGCATACAATCCGACTACGTTACTTCGCCTAATAAGAGGTCGGAAGCGCGGATCCGTCGCGCTCTCTAGAGTCTAACCTAGAGAGCTTGAGTGGACTTCACTAAATTAGACCTTCTCGACGAAATAATATGGCGTCCCCTCCACACGCCTACTCGCCTGCGGGTTCTCCGCCGTACTCTTCTAGCGCGCAGTTACCATCGAAAAAGCGTGGCTCCACATCCGCTGATCTTTCATCTCAACCTCCGTCTCTCAAGCGTCGCAAAGCATCCGTCATGTCCGTAGCCTCCGTAGGCTCGGCCCATCCTCTTCGCCAGACATCGTTCCCCCCCGACGAATCTCAACCCCAAAATTTCTCTCCGTCATACCGACGTTCTCCAAGCATGGATACTATGAGCCTTGTTAGTGGAAGCCAAGTGAGCGGTGCTCCTACGAAGAAAAAACGCGGTAGGAAGTCGAAAGCAGAGCGCGCGAACGAGGCAACCGTCGAAGCTCTACGGGATGGTTCCCCAAGTGTTGTAGGAGGTCGCGCACCTACCGTCCTTAGTAATGCGAGCGGTAATCACGCCAGCAAAGATGTCGACCCGGACTCCAGGAAAGAGGAGGAGTTTGAAATACCCGAGAATATGGCGAGCATGTCTGCTGCGCGAACTAAGGAGCAGATAGAGGAAGAGAAGGAGCTAAACGCGCTTCTAAAGGCGCAAATGGATACCCAACAATTCGATCGGTATGAGGTTTGGCATCGACAAACTCTCAAAAATGCGGACGTTAAAAGGGTATGTCTTCGGATTTCGTGTTATTGGCTATCCTAGTCCATTACAGTCAGCTAACCACACCTATCCCTACAGCATATCAACAGTGTCACATCACAGTCGTGTCCTACCAATGTCCATCAGATGATGCAAGTCGTTTGCAAGATGTATCTCGGAGACATCGTCGAATCTGCCCGTGAGGTTCAAGAAGAATGGGTGCGGCTAGGCGAGAAGCAAACTGACTTATCCGACGACGATCTTCAACCTACGAATGAACTATCGAAACACCGCCGGCAAGCCCCCCTACGACCCGAGCATCTTCGCGAAGCCTATAGACGTCGTAAGGCCGCTCCTGAAAACGGTGGCGCCTTGGGAAGCTTGATGGTATGGAATCAGCAAACCCAAAACGGAACTGAAAGATTCGCGGTGAGAGCAGGCGGCCGCCGAATATTCAAGTAATTAACGTCCCGTTTTGGAAATCATCGTTATCCCCATCTTGGAAGGCGTTCAATCCCGATACTTGCAAAGATAAATCATGTATCTCTGTTACGGGACCTAGGCACTTATATAACAGAGGTATTGCCAACCCGCCTCAACATGATTACAACGACTACTCATGCTTACCTGCAGATTATTCTATCTTATGCCGACAGAATATACGCGAACCCCCCGCCCAATAACGACTTTCCGACACATGGTTTCAGTACCTGCTCAGATCACCAGTTCAAATCTATCTAGTCTACTAGTTACCAGTTCAGTCTGTAGCAAGCAGTGTTGAGCGGGGTGGAAAACGGGGTGAACTGTCGGAGACATAGTGAATGGATGGCTGCCATAATGTAGCCGTCTTAAAAAGATATCTCTACCTACGTAGGGTTCTAGAATCGGGTTGATTCACTGATAGGTGTCCAAGCATCCTACTCCTTTGGTATTTGATATTTGGTGAGGGTCTGTTTTCTCCCTTAGCTCTGTATACTAGACCTGAGACTCCCGATGCGGTAAGCCTCGAAAGTAGTTCTGTGAGACTATTAATATCAGATTACCTGAATTCGTTTGCATCTTGTTCATCTCATGAGTATATAAGGATGGTGAATTGATTACGATTATAATTAATGATCAACTACCTACCTACCTTAAGTACCTTGTCATGTAAATTTCGGAATGAAAATTATGACAATTACGTCATTCCTAATACTTGACCGGTTTAATAGGTGGTTACTACTTACGCATCAACTTAGTAGGTACGTAGGACCTAAAAAATACCGATCCACTTCTATGCAAAATGATTGGCCGTAGTATCTGGTATGAAAGGCTAGTACATAGATGGTGCTAAAAAGCATTCTACCAAGCAACACCGCCCTTATAGCTCAGTGGTAGAGCGCAGCACTTGTAAATCTTCCTCCTGGAGATCTTCTGCAAGTTCATGCTGAGGTCCATCGTTCAATCCGGTGTGGGGGCATTTACTTTTGCAATTTTTTGGTATCTAATTCTACTTCTAGTTTTTTCTTCTCGTGAAAATCTCCGTTTGTACGACTATGATTGGTGTTTTCTTTTTTTCTTTTTTTCAGTACCCTTTATGCTTTATTTATCAGCAACTCCAGTCACGTCTTGCAGGCAATCAACTGAATGTTATTCCTAACACAAACTTTATTATAGCTATTATTCCCCATATATGGTTTTCGCCCATAAATATATATATGTGCGTTATGTTCCAAGTGCTGCTAAACTTTTGATAGAAATGGCCGCAAAGGTATATATAAATATAATATGTAAAATATACGCTATCTATCGTGAGTGCGTGTATATCTATCTATCTGGGTGTCTACCATCTACTTCGTCATGAACAGTTACTTGAGTTCGGAATAATCAATAACTACATCATAAAAGATATAGTTCTAAAAGAGAACCCATTGATTTGCCTCCTTTTGCATATACCAAATTTACATTTATAATAGTAGTGGATATTTCTGGATTTAGATATTTATTTCTGCCAGCCGTCTTGCTACACTATATCGTACGTTACATATAGCAAGATATCTTCATTACTTCATTCTCTTAACATACTAGCGCTTTGACCAGGTTCATATATGTTGTTGTTCTTTTCACTTGGGCTTGTGCCAATTTCAAAAGACAGAAGAAGGCCGTAACGCAATCACAAAAGAGGGAATCATTCAGAGACTCAGTTGAGACTTGAGAGTCTGTTACGGACGTTCTATAATTGGGCTCAAAAGCCTAGAAGCATATTTATGGCGAGAACAAGAAACTCAATCGAGAAAATTAGTGCAATGCATCTTTTTTTTTCATTTTGTTTTTTTTTTTCAGAAAAAGGTTGATCGAGAGAGAAAGTCAGAAAATTAGGTAGATGAGTGAGTACTTACCTAACTGATATTTTTACAAGTAGATCAACAGGAGGGGAAATCTTCACATTCAAAGAGTACCTAAGTACAAACAAGGTCACCTAGGAGGTAGGTAACTAAAAGTGACTACCTCAAATGGTAGCTTAGTCATCAAAGGGGTCACTCCTGAACTATATGATCATACACGGGAAACACATAAATTGCTGTGTACAACATTTATATACCTAGGTACCTACCTAGGTACTTACGTATGTATATGTATGTCTTGATATTGACGGGTTATATCGAATAATAAATTCCCAGTGGGCTTCTTTAAATAAAGAAGTTTCGAAGTCTATTGATTAATATCACAGATATAGAATGCTCGGTAAACCCCCTATCCCATTCACAGTACATTGCAATGAACATCATACTAACTAACTTCGATTCGTAGAATGTACATCCAGGCGTAAATTGGGACGTTTGTTACAGCAATAAGCAAGCAACACGATGGATTTACTTCACAGCGAGATAGTTATATCCCCAGAACAATCCTAATAGGTAAGATGCTTATTCTCAAAAAACGATTATCATTTTCCCTGTTTCATTACGTATTATTAGCCATCATATTAGTTAAGTCTATAATAGCCACCCAAAAATTAATTTTCACGAGGAATGGACATAGAAGTTCTGAGAATTATCTAACTACCTAGCTAATGGTGATAATGGTAGTATAATATCATGCAGCACTGAGATGACTTATATTAGGCATAGGAGAGCCTCCATGTTCAGACTTTGTTGAAAGATAGATATCGCAAGATTATTCTAATTAGCCCTTTCCCCAGAACTGGGAAGACGCCCCCACGGTTACGAAATGCTTTAGTGCGTTAAGCTAGAAGCCTTAAGTGTCGTAACAGAACATCGATTATGGCCATCTATATGCTTTTGTAAAAGCTAGGTCTTGTTGAGTATTTCATTTGGCACGGTTTATATATTGGAGCCGTAATCGAGATTCACGGCTTGCGGCCTCTAAATTTGACCTTTGAAACGAAGCACTAAGCTACCTTAGTTGTAAGATTACTGACGCTTTCGGGGTCATATTTCAGACGGACTCACTTGATCGATTCAATGATCGTAGCACTTGGTATAATCAGGAAGTTTATTAAACTTCAGCGACGAGGAATGGTGTATCAGATAAAAAGACCAATTGCAGTATAGCTAGGAATGCCGCGATAGAAAAGGCTGCAAAGTACCCCAGCGATAATTTTCAAGTCTAAGATAATCGAAGAAAGGTTGGTAGGGAATAATTGTCTAAGATGATATCAAATGTAGGTATTTAATAAGTGATGCGAGGATTGCAGTTCTGTGATTTAGAAAGTGTGGCCTAAATATTCGATGATGGCACCTTTATTTAAAAAAGATTTATCAGTGCCCAAAATAAGCCAGCGTGGATAGGGGTTAAAATAGAGCATAGTGAACATACCTGACTTCATCGTATAAAAAGGGAATCTAGCGAAGAAGTGATTAGACTAGGACGCAGAAACCCATGCTATCGAACTGGGGTAGAATCGCGCAACTGTTTGCATGTCAATCAATTTTAAGCTAGTTCGGCATCTAAATGTTTTTGGTTAGAATGTTGCAATATGTTCTATCGTTGAAAGTCGTGTAGATTGAACATATGAGGCCTATGGGCGGGGGAAATTCCCTAGTCGTAAATTCTTGAGTGAGGGGGATCCTTGAAAACGGTCAACCAATGATTATGTCTTCTTGTTGGCCAGTCAATCGGTCTTCGATGGTTTGGTAACGATCTTGTGGGCTGGCAATAGACCCTTCTTTTTCTACTACAACCACGAACTCCAATTTCTTCACTTTGAATCCAATTCCCGGGCCCTTTTTCCACTCTTCAAAACGCTTTAGGAGTGCTGCTTCATGATCGCTCGGTTTGACGCGAATCATTGCCTTATCCCGTTTGTCTACACCCTTCACAGCAGTTCTCATTAAATAAAGTGTCTCGACATTGTTCCACGATCTTGTGATGGTTTGCCAACAAGGCTCGGTTGTAGGGGGCAAGTTGGGCGATTCTGCTTGTACAGCTAAATATCTCACCGTAGAACGGTCAGGTAAATCGTACTGGTGGCGGGCGCAGTAACATCCACGGCACCCACCATGACAAGGTTCGAATATCACAATGTCGTTGTAAGTGACAGCTTGGCTTGTCCTGAGATTGGAGGAACCCGTGACTGGACTATACATGGAAAATAGCCTTAGATAATGGAGCTGAGCTACCCATCGTGATAGGCGGCATGTGTTAAACCAAGTAGGTTGCTGGTTTTGAACCTCAAATTGGACTTGGACATGCGATAGTGAATACCGGTTCAAGATGTATACTAAACGTGGCTCTATGGCCGCCTCCCATATCATCATCTTGAGTTCGGCTGGAAGATCAATATATTTAGTAAATTCAGTGAGCGGTTTCGAGAGGCGTGGAGAGCGGCGAACAGGCCCACCAATCGTAGCGTGAGCCCTTTTAAGCCGTTTAGTTGACCTTCGCGCTCGCTCTCTATCAGAGGGCTTAATAATGATTGAGTTTGTGGTTCCTGATATCATTAAACTGTCATTATTAAGCCGAGCAGATCGACGGACTGGTACTCGGAGCTGGCCAGTCATAGGATGTAATGCGGAAGTTCGTTTTAGCGACGGCGATTCAAGAGGCTGCGCCCGATCTCGCACTTCGCTAGTCACATCATCATTAACTCCATCGAAGTCACTAACTCGTTCGTTAATCCGTTCATCCGAAACATGGCCAATATCCCTCGACTCTTCAAGTCTCGATACGTGCGAACTGGATGTGTGTTTCTTGGATGATTCCTGGAGTCTCCTTCCGAGTGAAGTACCAATATATGGGATACCGTTAACTAAACTTGCGTGGTGGACTTTGGTCATAGATCGTGTCACTGGACCAGTATAGCATCCCGAATTAGGCATGGATGAGGGAAGAAGGCTGCTATGTGCGGGAGTCGACATCATGGGTGAATTTGCCATTTCAATTTCTTGCGGGTCGTCGGGCAGCGAATCCAAACATGATTCAAGTTTCTTATCATCTGCATGATTATCCTCGATACCATCTTCGGTCTCTTGTATTCCTGCCATCTTGGGTCCGGGAGAAGAAGGGTTCTCGATTTCTTTTTTTTGGCTTCTTTTTCTGGTTTGGATGCACGAAGGGAAAAGGACTGTAAGTAAGTAGGTAAGATTGAATGAAGGATATTTGTCGAGGATTCGAGTGGATTATTCTCACACGACCGACCTTGATTGCGCACGTGGATTCGGAGTCCTAAAAGGGTGGTAGTACAAGCATTAAAACCGTGCGGTCACTGTGGCTACTTATTATAGGTAGGTACCTAAGGAGATAAGTTTGGAACGGTCCAATGTCAAAAGATTTTGTGAAGATGCATGTATTATATTTTATATTCCTCAGGGGTGTGTGAAGTTGAAGAAATAGTTGTTGAGAAAGTTGACTTTACCAATAAAGTTAAGAGATCCGATTTATTAATAATATGATAAAACGATTTGCTACAGAAATAAGAATAATTAGAATCACGCACCTACCTAAATGCTCTGTATTTCGGTAAAGTTTACTCTTGCTGTCGGAGCTGGAGAGGTAAGTTTAACTTACAAGGTAGGTACTGTACGGTAAGTAGGAGGTAGTGGAGGTACGGTAGGCAAGGGAGGTACGTATGGAAGCCCATACGTGCATGCATCCATGTTGGAAGTAAGATCCTAGGAGGTACTTACCTCGACATTCGTACCTAACGTACCTGGGTTAGGTTAGGTACTTCTTTATGCACCCTAAGGCGACCGGAATGCATATGGATTTTAAGGATACTTACCTAGGATGTAGGCACCTGATAAATTAAAAGCTATGGAAGTTGTGCAACGTCAAGGAAACTACAAATAGAAGGATATGGTAGTACAAGAAATTATCTGGGGCGTACCTTCTAGTTCCCACAGAGACATAAGGACGTTACCTATGGTTTAGAGATAGGTCGCTGTTCTTGTCTTCTCCCATTTTAATGATGCGGGGCAATCGTGGAGGAAGGCAAGAATAGGGAACGGCCTGATAGTG